GTGTGTGTGTGTGCATACACACATATAAAAGGCCAGCAGGGAATGAGGAACACTGTGTTGGCACAAAGCAGTGTGTATTTTGAGTTTTATTAATTCCTAATAAGGTAGACTAATCCAGCAACTTTTTTTAACCTATTAATATTTATAAAGTGAATGAGTTCTGAAACGTAACCTAATAGTTTATGCTAGCCTTCAAAACTTAAAGGGATATGGGATAACTTTTCTTAAGCCTTGATACATATAGCAATGCTGATCCCATAGAACAACTATTGTCAAAGACCATTATTTTTAATCATTTTGAATTTGTAGTGGTATCTGAATTTCAAGAAAGAAAATGCAGCATTAAGATTGATGAGGTCAATATACATGGGTGTTTAATTGTAGTAAAATTTAAACACTAAGATAGTATAGTGAATGATCACATATAATTTATTCATCTTCAGCAGTTGCCAACTCATAACCAATCTTGTTTCATCTGTAACACCATTTATTCTCTCCTCCCCTTTCCCAACCCTTCACTAGATTATTTTGAGGCAAATTTCAGACATTGTATAATATTATCAGAGCAGGATATTTTTCACTTTTCTGTCAAAAAGCAGTAACAAACACTATAATATAGCATTATCTTCTCCTTCCTCATTGTCTTTACTGTATCAAAAGTAAAAAAATTATTACAATATTTATTTGAAATGTTGAAATATATTTTGAAATTCATTAACAATTTCACTTAGGTCATTAGTTTTCTGTGTTTAACATTAGTCATAGAATTTATATAAAGCCTCTGGGCTGTAGTCAAGACAGACCCTCCATGTGAGTTCAAAACTTAAATAGAAAAATTACAAATCATCGTTTTTGATTGTCTGATGTCAGTTACCTCACAGACTTAAGGTTGAGTATTTTATTGTCTCTGGAGTTACCAGTGTTCAAGCAGGTACTGAACTATTTCTAGATCATTTTATAGTTTTTGTTATGGGGTAGAGGCTAATGATAGAAACATTGCATGCATTCTAAACTGCAAAATATGGTTCAATTATTGACAGTTTTTTTGAGGTTCTAGAGATAATAGCATAAATAATATGGTGTTATCTGTTGGTTTCCCTTTGAACGTAGGTCAGTAATAAATTGTATACAGCTGAAAAAAGTCTCTTAATTTTTTTTACAGCTGAAAAAAAGTCTCAATCTGTTGTTCAGATATACATTAAGATCTAAAGTTTTTATTTTCACTGACACTATGTACCTGTATATATTTCTTTGGGACCACTGTATCATTTTTTCTTTCCTCAGTTTCCTATCCAAAAAATAGTGACGATAGCTGCTATGTCACTTGTTAGTTAGGAAGAAAAATTATGTGAGGTAGTTTTTAAAATGGTACTCAAAACACATATGCAGAAAGATTGCAAATATATATTGTGTAAATTTCATACTAAAATTATTCATACTGTTTCTTTCATTTCTAATTGGTGTAAAATGTCTCCTTGTTTCTGCTTTATCTGTGGTTTATAGTATTTTTTGTTTTATAAACTTCAAATGTTTTTGGTATGGCAAAGGATAATAGGATCATACAATCATAGCATCGAAAGATACATCAAAGTTCACTTTGTTTAAATATCCACATCTTAGGAAACTGGAAAGCCTGAAAGAAAAGTACTGTATTGTATATTTGGACAGTCAGTCTAGCCCTTGAGTATAGTCTCTCCAGTAGGCGTGTCTTTGTATGTGCGACTTCATCGTCCTGGAGGAGTCTTCCTCCTGTTCACCCTTCAAGGTGTAGCACATACCTCACCCGTCTGGAAAACCTCTCTTAACCATCCCAGAAAGCCAGTGGCATTTTTGTTTGTTTCTTGCTCCCGTATCATTTGATTTATTCCTTTACTGTAATGTTCATCTTTTTCTTATCCAGTTTGCTTAGTTTTTTAATTGTGAAAGAAATAATATAAAGGTAATACTCCTCTGACAACCCCACTCCTCCAGCCATTTCTTATCCCCAGAAAGGTAGCCACTTACATCCTTCTATATATGCTCTATGCAAATTGCAAATGTATGCACATACAGGATATACACCTCTTTTCAAAAATGAATACAAATAGGAATATCCTATATGTATTTTAAAAACTTGCTTTAGCTGAACAGTATAACTTGGACATTTTCTCATTTTCAACACATTTGGCGTCTATGAAGTCTGGAAACATAGGCAAATTAATATCAAGGCAAATGATGTCAACGGCCTGTTTAATCTGTTAATAAAAACAAACTGTGTTTCTAAACTACGGATACCTGTAGATCTACCTTATTCTTTTGAAACAGTAGCATGATATTTCATTGCATGTTTATTTTATAATGTATTTAACCAGTTAGTCTTTTTTGATAGGCAATTGTATTATTTCCAATCTTTTGCTATAACTGTATTTTAGTGAACAGACTTGGATGTATGTTTTTCCATATTCTTGAATAAGTAGCTTGCATTGGAATTATTAAGCCAAAAGATAATACGCCTTTTATATTTTACTGATAATCCTCTACAAATATATTTTTGTGCTTGTATCTTCAAAAATTTACAGTTCAGAATAACTAAACACATGATTGGACAAATCACTCCCTTTCTTTTTTTATATTTTTCTTTATAACTTTTATACATTTATTCTTCCCAAGAACTTTAGAATAATTTTGGCATTTTCTTAAAATTCTATGAGAACCTTAAATAGAATTACATTATATTTATGAATTAGGGAAAAATTGATATCTTTGTAATACTAAATCCTCTCTCCTGGAGACATGATTTTTTGGTTCATTCAAGTCATGATTTCATAAGAATTATACACATTTTTAAAACTTAGATTTATTCCCTGCAATTATTGTTATGATGATGATCTACCTCATCCCTTTTATCTCTCTTTTGTTTGTTAAATGGAAAACTATATTTTGTTTTAATATTTATGTTTTATCTAGTCACCTTAGTGATTTTTCTTATTAGTTTTAATAAATGTTAGGTGGGTTTCTATATTTTGTAGGTTATATCAACATGCTGTTGGAAAAATATCAGTATATAATATATATTATTTAAAACCCATGCTGATGGATTTCCCATAGCGGCTGCACATTTGTAAAATCTTCGATTTTTTCATAATTCTTTTTAGGAATTTTTTAAAGCCATATTTCTTATTGTTGTGTGGCTCAAAAGGAGAGATTCTCCATTAGAATTTGAGGAGGAAGTAGCATTTGAAATAGACATTGAGAGAAGACGAGAATTTTCATAGTTGGGCATGAGTTCACATTCCAAGGGAATAATACAATATGAACAAAAGCAAGGAGATTGAAAAGCATGGGAAAAATAGAAAGTATTTCACTTTAACAGGAATGTGGGATATATGTAGCAGTCCGGGCAAGATCAGAACCTGTGTCTCTCTCATTGTAATGTCTATATGAAGATACTCTTAATTCAGTAAGAATTGGGAAGTCTGTGGGTGATTTTGTAATAGAACTTCGCATTTGTACTGTGAAGCATTAGAATTAAGTTATTGAGAAAAGTGGTGATCACTATTTAGATAGTATTTCATAGCTCTAGGTATATTTTTACTGAATTCCCTGAGATGGAAACCTGATTTTTTTTCCCCTTTGTTTTATTCGTATATTTATGTCCTTCATGCTTGGAGACATTTTGTATTTTTCAAATGTTGACTACATAATAGCCAGACAGACTTTGTACAAATGAAGGAAAGAGTAGTTTGAATATAGAATATCTAATGACCAACACATTGAATGGCAGTGGGTGACTTAAAAAAAGGAAAGTTTTCCTCTGAATTTCTCCTTCCTGGCAAATTTAATAACAATGCAGCCCTTTTCATTTCATGTGATATATCTTTTCTATAATTGGGAAAACATAACAGATGATCGCTCAGCAGCATTTCCCAAGTATGTCTTGGGATAGTAATGAGACTGAATTATTTACCCCTCCTAAGGATGCTTGTCATTAAATAATCAATTTTCTGTTATATAACACACTTTTTTTTCCTAAGAAAATGCATCTAAGCATGCCTAAAGGTATTAGATACCATAAATCTCAAGTAAAATAAGAGAAAATCAGATCTTTATCGCTCTAATTAAAAAAATGTTTTTTTAGAACTTAAGTGCTGTAGAGGTGCTTTGATACAGAGTCACTTTATTTCTTTGGCCACTGACATTAATATATTTGAACCAAAGTAAGTCAGTGAACCTTTCATTTAATTTTTTTCTGTGAAAAAAATAATGTTTAGTGGTGAAAACATGTATATTACTTTGTGTCAGTATTTGGGAATTGATAAATATGTTGACTGTGTAAGTGTAAAAAAAATTATGAAAGAAAAATATATTATGATATTACATAAGGGTTAATAGACCATTGAGAAGTGATCTGTGTCCTTATAGTGGGAAAGAGCAGAATAAATAAGCAAGTAATTACAAATGCTATAGTTGTTACAAATAGGAAAGGAAAGAGTTGGCCATGAAATTTTTACTGGGAGTCACAGAGTTTCAAAGTTATCTAATTATGAGATTTGAAGAGTCTAGCTAGGTGAGTAACATTTGGAACCAGAAGATAATAGTTATTTAAAAAATTTTTTGAGTTCTATAAGTTTCTGCAGTTTGTGATTATTTTTAAAAGCATAGTTTTGTGAGTTTTATTAATATTCATTGGTAAGGGTGAATAACTACATTCACAGAATAAGCCAGGAACATTTCCATCCTAAAAACATCTTTTTATGTTAAGAGAAAACTCAGAAAAATAATAGTGTTGATACTTTTTAGTCTTGATTATTCCATTGATTGTCAGGATATAGGTATGGGAAATTTAGGCTTTTGAATTAATTTTGTTCAAGCTGTTATTGGTAGTTGGCAGGTAATTAAGTACTTCCCTTAAGCAAGAGTTTTAAAATGAAAATATCTGTTTTATAGGATTTTCTAATTACAATTGCACCCCACATTCTCTAAAACCTGAGCTTTCAGGGAAAACAAAACAAAATGAAATAAAACCTCATAGAATTAAACAAAAATCCTTTCCTGAAAAGGTTATGAAACAAAAATTCTTTGAAAACTTGAAAAATTGGAATTTCTTATGTAATCTTAGACATAAAATGCCATTATCTGATCTATTGTTGAAAAAAAAGTCCTTCCTTTTTTCTTAGTTTTACATAAACCATCTCAGTTTTTGTGTTTTGCTTGATTTGCTTTTTGGGTGCTACTTTAAACAAGGTATTTACTGGCACTTACTCTGTGCTGGGCGCTATTCTGTAACTTTCTTCTGTTACCTCATTTAATCCTTACAACTCATCTCTAAGATTTTTATGATTACATCCATTTTACAGATGAGGACCCAAAGAGGTTAAATAGCCTCATAACCTGCCAGAGGTGGCACTGCTGATATGTGGTAGATGAAAGTAAATTGTTAGCTTGATATTTAGGAACAAATTACGTCTGTAATCATACTGTATTTGTTTTTCTAATATTAACTTATTTTTTGTTTGTTTTCCAGGATTTGTTGATGTACCTATTACAGCTGGTCCAAGCTCTCAAATATGAAAATTTTGATGACATAAAGAATGGATTAGAACCCACCAAGAAGGATAGTCAGGGCTCAGTGTCAGAGAGTGTGTCGAGTTCTGGAATAAATTCTGCAGAAATAGATAGGTATGGATATCCAGGGAGGACTCATTTTCACAACTGATAGCTTCCCAACTTTTCAAACTGTCTCCTTTCCTTTTTCCTCAGACATACCAAATCAAACCCTAATTAGTACTGAATTTAAAGTTTTACGAATGAATATGGCTTGTGTACTTACAGAACACAAACTACACAAACTAATATAGTCCAGAGCATTGTTCTGCAGGCTGTTGAGTCAAAATTCCCTAGTTAAAATCTTGAATCTGCCATTTACTAGCTGGGTAAATTTGTGTAAGGTACATATTTTCTATGTGGTCCCAGTTTCTCATCTTAAAAATAGGAATATAGCTAGTAACTGATCTTCAAGTGTTGTTGAAAGATTGAGTTAATACACATAAAGCCTTTCAAAAAGTGTTTCACTGTAGTGCTCAGTAAGTGTTAGATACTATTATTGGTCATGCAAAAATAAAGTGAAGGTTGGGCATGTTAGTGGACTCAAACATTTTATTGTAAAGTTATGTTTTTTATTGGCTACTTTTCACCCGTTCAGTAGTTAACCTGAATAAAAAAATGTGTTACTTTAATTAAAAGTCAGCTATTAACAGCAATAACAATTAAGTCTTAGCATCTTGTAAATGATACAGTTGACTCCAAAGCCTATATTCTTTCTACTTTGCCATTTTGCTTTTATAAAATCTTAAAATTTGAGATAAATAGGAACCTTTGGGTGAGATAACTGAGGCTCAGAAATGTAAAACTGTTGTGTGAGTATCATGAGATTTGTGAATGACCTAATAAGGTCTAGAATTCAGATTCTGAATCAGTCCAGTATTTCAGGTATCACATGAGCCCAAGATTATATTTCTGAATTTTTCTTTATGATTATAATAATTTTATTTTCTTTTGCCTTTCAGTTAGAGAACTGAAAAGTGGTAAAAAAAAAAGTTTTCTTCCATAGGCTGCTTCATTATTTTCTATTTTTAAGAGAAGAACCCCTTACTTTTCTCCCATTGGGCATTGGAGGCCTTCAGTCTCCAGTCATGTTTCTGTATCTTTTTCCTTACTAATGCTACCCAGAGTGTTTTCTTAGAAGTCCTTCAAGGTTTTAGGACTAGATGTAAACTGTAATCCCATATTCCCCAAATTACAGTCTGCTGGTCACTCATGTGTTTTTTTAAAAAGATAAGAAAGAGGTGGAGGTGGTCTTGTGGTCAAATATGTTTGAGAGATGCTGGTTGAAAGTAAAATGGACTTAAAAAAAACTACAGTACTTTTCAAAACCTTTAATATTTAGACTTGCATGTGCATCTCCAAGAGGCTTATTACCCATATTCTTTGACTTTGGTGCCTCTTTTTCCAGAGCACAATGTGAGTTTTGTGTTGCACAGGACACAGTTTAGGAAGTGATGCTTTCACCAGAAACAATTGAGGTGAACTATGCTAAAAATGTGTACTTTCTCTTACAGACAGTGTTATCTTCTATTGTTTTTCAGCTCCCAAATTATAACCAGCCCTCTTCCTCCAGTGTCTTCCCCTCCCCCTGCATCTAAAATAAAAGAAGGTTCAGATGGTGAAAATCTAGAGGTGGGTATAAAGCCTTTCAAGTTTCCTATAGTTTCCTATAGTAGATATCCTACCAGATAAACATTTTATGTTGGTCTTTAAAACACTGATTTTGATTAATAAATTAAATATTACAACTTTATTAAATAACTTGTTTTATGATGCATGTTTAAGACTTTTCATCTCAGCAAAAAGTGCCAGATAATCTTCAATTCAAGCCATTTTATAGGTGCTTTGGGCATATAAATGGATTCATATGCAATGTGAAAGTAAACTGGGCTTAAATATTTTATTAAGGAAACTCAGAATATTTATTGGCAACAAATTTATTAACATTACTTGTAATTGTCAGTGATTGTGATTACAGTGTAGAAATGTATAACTTTGGTCCTAAGGATAGTATACTAAACAGCTGTTTATAACTATACATGCAGAAAAATTAAGTCCCTTACAGAAGTAAACTAACTTTTGAGATAAAACACACCTATTTGGCCAATGCTGATCTGAAAAGTACCTTTGGAAGTACCTTTGCAGAAGATGATCTACTTGGTATTGTTGTTTATCTTCATAAGACTTCTAATTTGAGAAGAATCTTTCACACCCCTAATGTTCAAAACAAACAGTACATGCTTTGATATTAGAAAGTTCCATTGATTTTGTGTGTTTTTGTGTGTATTGCTTTAATCAAATATTAGGAGTTAGTGTTGATATCTGAATAACTTTTGTCTTCAGTATTAACTGTTAACCAATGTTTGCATGTTTGCTTACCTTCTTGATACATTAGAAAATAATGAAGAAAAAACTTTATACGATTGTAGAATTCTTAAGGGAGCCCTTTAAGGACCCATTCAGCTCCAGTTTAATTATTTTGACCTTTCAAAGCTAAGGTACCAATTTATTGGTTCAGTAACTCATTCATTAATGCATATGTTTTGAGTTCTTGACTATGTACCAGAAACTAAATTAGGTGCTAGGGATGGTGCATCAGAGAATAAAAGTCATAATCCTGATCTTTTGGAGCTTACATTCTAGTGTTGGCGTGATGATAGTCAATAATATTTATATATAGTAGAAGAGGGTAATGATATCTATTCTCTGAAGAAAAATAAATCAGGGAAGGATGATAGGGAGTGTTGGAATGGAGTTAGGCAGTTGCAATTTTGAAAGGATTGGTCAGGGAAAGCCTCCCTGGAAATATAACATCTTTCTTAAGATGAAGCAGGCAAGGGAACAGCCATGTGGTGGTCTGGGAGAGGAGCAGTTCAGGCAAAGGGAACAAGGATATATAGAGGCTCTAAGATCAGAGCTTAAGTGTGTGAGCAACAGCAAGTGGCCAGTGTGCCTGGTTCTGGGGAGAGAGCAAAAGGAAGCATGGTGTAAGAATGAGTCTGAGAACAAGCAGATCAGTCATGCTGAGCCTTGTAAGCCATGGCATCAAATGACTTTTACTTGAAAGCTATTGAAATAATTCAGGTAAGACTTGCTGTGGCTTGAGCCAGGTTGGTTTGCATTGAAGATTGTGTGAACTGATTAGATTCTGAAAGCTATGTCCAGAATGCAGTTTTGTACACTACCTATCACTCAAAACCTTTAGGCTAAAAATAAAAACAGTTTATATGTATTTATGATATTTCTCTGGTGACTGAAAAACCTGTCTGTTGTTACCCAGTAATTAAGCCATCTGGCTTTTTCTCAGACCAATAGTTCCTTAAAAGGTTCAGGTAATCCAGGCCATCCCAGAAGGCAGGTGCATTGTTTTGAAAGCTTTTCTTTTCCCTTTCCCCAGCGCCCAGTCATAATACTGCACAAACAGTCATCACCTTTAAGATCCCTAAACAACTAAATGTTTAAGCTGAATCCCCTGACTTCTTCTCACTACAGATACCAATATTCTTTCTCCTCCCTGGCACCTGAGGAGTCTTGTTTTCTTCTCCTTTCCTTTCCCCTTTCTCTTGGAGTTTTAGGAAGCCACTGTGCATGTCTTGTTAAATGTTGGAAAGAAGACAGGAACTCAGTTAATTTCTTTGCTCAAATATGGTCATTTTTCATAAATCCCACAGGTCTTTGAAAGGAAGGTATATTCCCCAGTCTTGGGTTCACCACTATGTGTGTCACTAGAGTAGGCTTATTCATTGTGTTGTGGAAATTTTCTTTATCTTTGCCTAAGGTTTTTTCTGCTTGATCTGTTAAAAAATTTTCTCTGTATAATGTGTAATTATCAATTTCTCCTTGTATTTCTGTTATTTCTGTTAGTGTTTGCTTTAAATATTTTGAAGCTATTTTATTAGGTGCATTCAAGTAAATTGAGTCATGTAAATCTAATCATGTTTTTTTGCCTCAAAGTCTGTAGTGTCTGATATTAGTAGAACTTTGTCTTGACTAGTATTCACTGGTATACTTTACAGTCTTCTCCCTTCACTATTTCTGTGGCCTTATAATTTAGTTTATCTCTTGAAAAAATATAGCTATATTTCATTTTTTCAATCCAGCTTACTACTCTCTTTTAATTAGGACTTTTGCCCCATTTATTTTTTACAGTCATTTGTTTATTTATTTTATTAAGTTATTATTGATATGCACTCTTATGAAGATTTCACATGAAAAAACAATGTGGTTACTGCATTCACCCATGTCATCGTGTCCCCCCATACCCCATTGCAGTCACTGCCCAACAGTACAGTAAGATGCCAAGAGTCAGAATTTGCCTTCTCTGTGCTACACTGTCTTCCCCATGATCCCCTCCACAGCATGTGTCAATCATAATACCCCTCAGTCCCCTTTTCCCTCCCTCCCCACCCACCCTTCTCCTTTGGTAACCACTAGTCCTTTCTTGGAGTCTGGGAGTCTGTTGCTGTTTTGTTTCTTCAGTTTTGCTTCATTGTTATACTCCACACATGAGGGAAATCATTTGGTACTTGTCTTTCTCGCCTGGCTTATTTCACTGAGTGAATACTTAATTCACATATTATTTCACTGATATAATATCCACCAGCTCCATCCATGTTGTTGCAAATGGTATGATTTGTTTCTTTCTTATGGCTGAATAGTACTCCATTGTGTGTATGTACCACCTTTTCTTTATCCATTTATCTACTGGTGGACACTTAGGTTGCTTCCATTTCTTGGCTATTGTAAAATAAATAGTGCTGCAATAAACATAGCTGTGCATATGTCTTTTTGAATATGAGAAATTGTTTTCTTTGGGTAAATTCCTAGGAGTGGAATTCCTGGGTCAAATTGTATTTCTACTTTTGGTTTTTTGAGGAACCTTCATATTCCTTTCCACAATGGGTGAACTAATGTACATTCCCACCAGCAGTGTAGGAGGGTTCCCCTTTCTCCACATCCTCGCCAGCATTTGTTGTTCTTAGTCTTTTCGATACCTGCCATCCTAACTGGCGTGAAGTGATAGCTTATTGTGTTTTTTATTTGCATTTCCCTGGTAATTAGTGATGTGGAGTACTTTTCATGTGCCTGTTGGCCATCTGAATTTCTTTTTTGGAGAATTGTCTCTTCATATTCTCTGTACATTTTTTAATTGGTTTATTTACTTTTTGGGTGTTGAGACATGTGAGTTCTTTATATATTTTGGATGTTAACTGCTTGTTGGATATGTCATTTACAGATATATTCTCCCATACTGTAGGATGCGTTTTTGTTCAGTAGATGTTGTCCTTTGCTGTACAGAAGCTTTTTAGTTTGATGTAGTACCATGCGTTGATTTTTGCTTTTGTTTCTGTTGCTTGAAGAGATGCGTTCAGAAAAAAGTTGCTCATGTTTATATTCAGGGGATTTTTGCCTATGTTGTCTTCTTCGAGTATTATGGTTCTGTGACTTACATTCAGGTCTTTGATCTATTTTGAGTTTACTTTTGTGTATGGGGGATAGACAGTAATTCAGTTTCATTCTCTTGTATGTAGCTGTCCAGTTTTGCCAACACCAACTGTTGAAGAGGCTATCATTTCCGCATTGTATGTCCATGGCTCCTTTATCGTGTATTCATTGACCATATATTCGTGGTTTTTTGTCTGGGTACTCCAGTCTGTTCCTTTGGTCTATGGCTCTGTTCTTGTGCCAGTACCAAATTGTCTTGATTACTGTGGCTTTGGAGTAGAGCTTGAAGTCAGGGAGCATAATCCCCCCAGCTTTATTCTTCCTTCTCAGTATTGCTTTGGCTATTCGGGGTCTTTTGTGGTTCCACATGAATTTTAGAACTATTTTCTCTAGTTTGTTGAAGAATGCTGTTGGTATTTTGATATGGATTGCATTGAATCTGTAGATTGCTTTAGGCAGGATGGCCATTTTTACAATATTAATTTCTTCCTATCCATGAGCATGGGATGTGTTTCCATTTATTGGTATCTTTTTTAATTTCTCTCATGAGTGTCTTACAGTTTTCAGAGTATAAGTCTTTCACTCCCTTGCTTAGGTTTATTCCTAGGTATTTTATTCTTTTTAATGCCATTGTGAATGTAATTGTATTCCTGATTTCTCTTTCTGCTAGTTCATTGTTAGTGTATAGGAATGCAACAGATTTTTGTGTATTAATTTTGTATCCTACAACTTTGCTGATTTCAGATACTAGATCTAGTAGTTTTGGAGAGGATTCTTTAGGGATTTTTACATACAATATCATGTCATCTGCAAACAGGGACAGTTTAACTTGTTCTTTACCAGTCTAGTTGACTTTTATTTCTTTGTGTTGTCTGATTGCTGTGGCTAGGACCTCCAGAACCATGTTGAATAAAAGTGGGGAGAGTGGGCATCCTTGTCTTGTTCCCGATCTTAAAGGAAAAGCTTTTAGCTTCTTGCTGTTAAATATGATGTGTGGCTGTGGGTTTGTCATATATGGCCTTTTATTATGTTGAGGTACTTGCCCTGTATACCCATTTTGTTGTTTTTTTCATGAATGGTATTGAATTTTGTCAAATGCTTTTCAGCATCTATGTAGATGATTATGTGGTTTTTGTTCTTTTTATTGATGTGGTGGACGACGTTGATGGATTTTCTAATATTGTACC